TACTCTAAAATTGGAAGCGTAACCAACTTAGCCACACTATTTATTTTCAGGGCATCCTAATATCAACACAAAGAAACTTTAGGGGACCGAAGAAAAGTTTAATTAAATCTACAGCTTGGTTAACAAGAAATAGCCGCGAGCGGCCAAAAAGCTCGTCATCTCGAAATGTTAGAATAAAATAGAAATTAATTTAAAAAAGATGTTCTCATTAAAAAGAGAACAAAAATAAATTTTTCTAATTAAACAAAATAAAAAAAATTTAAATAAATCCAAAAAATGATTTTTGTACTTTTCTTTTAACTAAAAATTTAGTCGCGCAAAAAATAAAAAAAGTCCCCCCTCAACTTTTCTATTTTTATTTAAAAGGCAAACAATAAAAGAAAGAAAAAGAAGAGATTATCTCTTCTTTTTTTTCTCTTAAACAATTCTCTCCCCTATATTTTATTATCCAATTTCAACAACTCGTGATGAACACAAAATTCCCTTTTTAAATTATTTAAATGTCAATAGGTCTCCTTTATTTTTCTTTTTTAATTTCACAGTTGGAAATTTTTTTTCTTTTGATTTTATAAGTCTTGTCATTTTGGGAAGGTAAAAGAGTAAACTACCCAAATTTCTGATTTAATCAAAAAAAAGTTTTTTTCTAATTTTTCTTAGTCTTATTTGTTGATTTTAGTACAGATAAGGTCAATTTAGTATTTTCCTTTGAATTAAATTTTTTTGGGTTTAAAGTCTTAAAATTGGAAACAGGATAGTAATATAGCAGGGACAGATCGGGTTGAGAAAAACATGTTAGATTTCGGATCGAAAAAAAAGTCCAGGTTTCTAGTCGGTATAGTTAGGGGGATTGGGATTAAGAGGGGAACATTCCGGATTTCGATTAACCGGACATACAGCCTTGACCGACAAACGTAAGAAACTCTTAACAGAGTATAGCTTTTGGTACAGCAATGCAGCTCGATAAAATACCTAAAATTATATCTAAATTTAAAGACTTAATTATAAGCCCTGCCGCAAGGTGTACTCAAAAAATTTATTTTCTAAAAATAATTTTTTTGGTGTTTGCCCCCTTTCCTCTATTTTCTTCTATTTATTTTTAGTTTTTGCCTTTATAAACGTAAAAAAGAAAAAATAAAAAAAGGTTAAAAGCCAATAAAAAGCTTTAAAAAGCCCCACATTGTGTGTGTTTGACAACCGGAAAAGAAACAAATTGAGAAAAAAAAGACGCTAAATGACGCAAAAAGAGAATAAAATAAAAAAACGATGGGAAATTGTTAAGGAAATTTAATCAGGAAGGCAATATAAACAAAAATTTATTTCAAAATGTCAACTAGTGCAAAAATGTTTCATAACACCCAAAACTAAAAATATATTTCATAATGTCAACTTTTAATATTTCAAAATGTCAAATAGTCAAAACACCCAATTTAAAAATATTTCATAATGTCAACTAGTGGAAAAAATTTTTAAATGTCAACTAACACATAAAACTAGAGGTCGGCAAAATCGCATTCCCGGGGTCTCTTAACGGGATGAGTTTAAAAATTTTGAACTGGACGGGAGTGGGATTAATCCCGTAAATCCCGTTTTTCGCTGTAAACCCGGGATTTCAGGATGGGATCCCGTAAAATCCCGTACGGGGTCCCGTCCCGTGTTGAGCTCTACATAAAACTTCAAAACACCTAAAGTCAAATAAATATTTCAAAACGTCAAATTTCAAAACAAACCACAGAGGTGAACCTCACTATAAGAGAAACCCAGTAGTAGATTAACACCGATTTAGGATACGTTCTTCTAAAATTGGTTGGAGGTTGATGAGAGGAAGAGCCGTCTAGCTGATCTCTCGAGGGGAGAGAGCCGTCTAAGTGATCTCTCAAGGGGAGAGAGCCGTCTATGTGATCTCTCAAGGGAAGAGAGCCGTCTATGAGATCTCTCAAGGGGAGAGAGCCGTCTATGTGATCTCTCAAGGGAAGAGAGCCGTCTATGAGATCTCTCAAGGGGAGAGAGCCGTCTATGTGATCTCTCAAGGGAAGAGAGCCGTCTATGAGATCTCTCAAGGGGAGAGAGCCGTCTATGTGATCTCTCAAGGGAAGAGAGCCGTCTATGAGATCTCTCAAGGGGAGAGAGCCGTCTATGTGATCTCCCTACCCCCTCCCCTTCCCCCTCAATTTAGGATAACCTCATTAGAAGAAAATTTTTTTTAGCCTCTAAAGATTGTATCTCTTAAAGTGAGGCCCCCTACTCACTCAAAAAAAAAAATAAATTTTTTAGTAAACACACACTCACACACCTTTTATCGCAGCAGTTGTCGCCGCCACCATACCTCCTCTACCATTAAATTGTGGAATAGCAAAATCATGATAAATTTGAGAATTGTTGTTGTTGTTTTTCACATCCATTTGCTGTCCATCATCTCTGTCCTCGTCGAAAAAGAACATTTTTTTCTTCTACTATTTTTTCTTCTTTAAAAAGTTGTTATTGCTTTCGGTCCTTTTTCCTTACTCTTCACGTGGATAGAAGGAAAAACGAGTTTTTGCAATTAAAAAAATTTTTTTTCAGTGTCCTTCAAAGTCCAAAAAATTCTTTTTTTTCAAAATATAGTCAGTTGTTTAGCACTTTTTTTTTGGTAGAAAAATATTTTTTACAATAAACACAAAAAATATTTTTAGAATAAAAAAATTGTTGTTACTTGTAGCTTGGCTAATCAATGTTTTTTCTAGTTGTTCTAAAAAGCTACTCGAGTTTATCCTCCTAGTTGTTCTTCTACTAGAGATGATCTTCTTTCTAATCGCTTTCTACTCGCTCTAGTTGTGTCTTGCAGTTACTGCTCCAACTAATTTTTCCAAATTATTGTTGTGTTGCAGATACTGCTCCAACTAGTTGTCAACTACTTTTTCCACAACCTGATGTTGTGTTGCAATTACTGCTTGAATTTGTTGTCAACTACAACTATGTTGTAGCTTCTACTCGTTTTAATCCTTTTTTACCCGTTTCAATTTCCAAACACTTTTTTCTTCACTCTACCACTCGGCTGCTGCTGATTTTCAATGTCTTCCTACTCCTACTCACTGTCGTCAACACTAATACTTTTTGCCTTCTAATGGGCTTCAGATTTGTTGACAAAAAGATGAAAATTATGCGCGTAAGGAGAGGTTGTGGATAAGGGCTTTGGATCTGAAAAATTTTTTTTAATTTTTAAATTAAATTAATGAATAAAAAACGCGAGAAAACGAATAAAATTAAAAAAAAAGAGGCAAAATTTAAAAAATAAAAAATTGTCACGTTGGAAATTTTATTTATGGGCATTCAAAAATAAATAAATATTTAATTAACAGAAGTTTATAAACTAAAAAGTTTGAAAATGTATTTGTGAAATTTAAAAATATTTTCTGCTTGTTTTTCCAACCGTTTTCAAGTGTGGTAACCCTAAACATATTAAAATTCATAAGTCAACAAAGAAAAGTGGGATATTTTTAATTTTGGTATCATTCGATGTGTCTCTTCAAGCTGAATCAGGAAATCTTAAAATTAAAGTGATCCGACTTTTTATTGTCGAGATATGAAAGAAAAACTAAGGGAAGATGATTTACAAGAACAGCAATAACACCAAAACTTTAATTTATTTAAAAATTTAATTAAACAAAAATAATTTAAAATGAATTAATTTGTTAAGAGAATTTATTAAATATTAAATTAAAATTAATTTTGACAGAATTTAAAATGATTAAAAATAAAAAAATAAAAAATGGGAAGGGGTGTTAGGGAGTGTTTTCGAGTGGGTGGAATTAATTAAATTAAATTTAGAAAAAAATTCAAAAATGTTTAAAAGAAAAATATAAAAGTCAACTATCGACTCTCGATTCACTCCAAGTCCAGTCTTTAAATTAGGGTAGCACTCCGAGCCTTCGGGGGTGGGATCGTCGGAGATTGGGGTTTGCCGGAGTAGAACCTTCGGGTTTCGGAGAACGGGGGTTTTTCCAAAAAAAAATAGTCAGGGGTTCGGGAGACGGGGTGCTACCCTACTCTATATTCAAAAGGGAGTGTCGTAGTATCGAGATTCGACTTATATCGTCTCAACCCTATCTTCAACTGAAGTGACCTACATGTTAATTCAAGTGTAGTAATATTGAGAGGGGAGATGTTTTATCATAATTGGACTTGAATTTCCTTTTAATTTTTATATAAAAAATTGTTTTTAATTTTCTTTAAAAATAAAATTTTTAAAGAAAAACAAAAATAAATTTATTTATTTATTAGTTATAAACGCGCGATCAAAGAAAACGACCACCCCTCAATAAATTTTATAACTGCGCAACCAACCATAACTATGTAAAAACGAGCATTTTCCCTTCGTTTATTTTGAAAAGGATAAAAAGAGGGGAGAATAAAACTTGGAAAAAAATAAAAACTTAATGGAGTATAACCAAGTTTGAGGTGGAAAACAAGAGAGGTCGCAAGGTCGCAAGACTTAAAGAAAATTTTAAGGAGTCGCAAGAAGGAAAACAATTTGGTAATTGGTTACCCATTGAGTTGGTTTGCTTCAGGTTTTTGATTGAAAAAAGTCGAGAAATCTAAAAGAGAATGGACCTGGGATAAGTAAAAAGGGAGTCTATGGACTGAAGAATAGACTTAAGAGAAGAGATGCTCTTCGTTTTTAAATTTGATCTTTCAAATCGCCGATAGTCCCCTCTATAGGATACCTCCTAGGGGAAGAAAAATTAGTCTCTTATAGTGAGAGTATCTTAAATCGAGGGTGTCGTTTAGGCAGCTCCACTACCCAGTAACTAACCAAAGCTAGAAGGAAGTGACTTGAATGGAGGTGAGGAGGAGTATTGGGTGAATTTATAGACTACCCTTAGAAGGGCCAGGGAGGGAGGAAAAAGTAGCTGAGGTCCTACCGTAATTTAAAATTTAACGACTAAATTTTAATTCAAAAAAGGTCAAATATCGACCAATTCTTTATATATCCAACACTAAATATATAAAATAGAAAAATTATAAAGCAGCTGAAAAGGAAAAATGAAGGGAAAAAAGTATTGAGGAGAAGCAAATGTAGTGGTGGGAGAAGGGAGGAGCATAAAGAATGAAGGCCCCTGAAGGGCCGGGGAAGGAGGAGGAGTGGTTTAGAAAAGAAGAGAGAGAGAAATGTTTAAAAGAAGAGAGAGCAGAGTGCGTTGAGTGCTCGATAAGTAATAAAACGAGGGAGGATCTTTCGGCGCTTAAGACTCGGCGCCACGAGGAAAATAAAATTTCTGCGCCGAAATGTCCGCTTCTGACGAAAATGTAAACAAGAGACAATTTGGCGCAAAAAAGGGCGTCAAGTAGAGAATGAAGAGGGCTGCGCCGAAATGTCCCTTCATAAACAAGGGAAAATGTTGGTAAATTGAGGAAGGAAAAGCAGATGTAGAAAATTGAGAAGAAATATAAAAATAAATAAAGTAAAAAGAGTGAAGCTCAAATTATATAGAAAAGAAAGGATTGCTTTTTAGTAGAGTATATTTATGTGTATTGTTGTAAAAAACCCCAATTTTTGTTTAATCATTTTAAGGGCTAAAATGAATTTTTTTGTTGTTGAGGTACATACCTAGTGAAAAATTTAAAAAGAAAATAAAATTTTAGTAATTTTAAAAGGATATCGATGATATAATAAAGAAGTTATTTGCAACATTCCTCTGTCAATTAGACTGACTTTTAATTGGGATAGCTTAAAAGGGGTAAAACCCAAAAAGGCGCGCGGCCATAAAGGCGCAACGCTACAACTTGCTGGGAAATGTCTAGCCCTTATGAATTTTGGTACCAATCTCCTTAGCTCGATGATAGCAATCATTGAATACTAAACTTGGAAAGAATAGAAGATATTGAAGCAGGCTTTGCGCCGTTATGGCCGCGCGCCGTTTTGGGCCTGTCTCAGGACCCTTGCCTGTCTAAACAGGCTTGAAAAGCGCCGTATAATTAGAGAGTGTTTATATCCAAGGCCCCTCAGTTGGAGAGCGCCTTTGTATTAGAGAGTGCCTTTCCTTTGTGTTAGAGAGGACTTGTTATAAGAGCAAGTCTTTCTATTAGAGTGCCTTTCTATAAGTGTATTGGTTGCGCCGAAAAGACCCCCCCACTCCTCCCGTTAATAAACTAATAATCTTAAAAACTAGAAATTTTTACCAAGAATGATGAAAACTTAACAAAATTAATTATTTATATATACCCAGTCAAGAATGTTTAATTTTTATTCCAAAAAGTCTCGTTTAACATTATCAGTTAATATTTAAAATTAAAAAAAAAGTAAACGAACTTTGGGCAAGTAAATTAATAAAAATTAGAAAAAAAATTTTGTTAATAAGAAAGCAAAAAATAAAATTAAAATGAAAAATTTAAATGATAAACACGATAAAATAAATAATTTATTTTAATATTCTTTAAAGGTCCCACCCCAAGATATCGAAACCACAAGATCGTTTAAAAAGGCGGTGGCGTTCTTGAAGGCGTTGATTTTCAGGGTGTTGATCTTGTGGGTTTGGGTATTATTTTAAATTTTCAGGGGAAAATGAATAAAAATTGAAGTAATTAAGGGTAAGTACTCAATCTTGAGGTCCAGTCTTCTCTATAGGAAGTATTCCTTATAGTGGATACACCTCTATTTAAGATACTTTTTTAAGAGTTGGTAGCTGAGGGTAGGGAGGGGGGGGGGAAGAGGGGAGATGTTCAAGTGATATTCTCTCCAATACACCTCACCTCTATTTAATAGACACCATATAAGATAAGCAAAATATTTTTAATCTTGCATTATAGTGGATACACCTCTATTTAAGACACTTTTTTAAAGTTGGTGGTCGGGGGATAGGGAGTCGGAGGGGGAAGAGGAGGAGGTCAAGTGCTAGCCTCCAATACACCTCACCTCTATTTAAGAGACACCATATAAGATAAGCAAAATATTTTTAATCTTGCAATGAGGTTCTAACAGTATTATGATAAGGCGGAAGTTATTTTTATAATTAAAAATTAATTTCTAATTTCATTCCCTTCCCCTTCTTCCTTTTATATACGCGCACCCACCAATAAGCAACTGCCAAATAATCATTTATTTATTTTAATATAATTAAATACACGTAATCATTAAAGCAACATCATCATTATTATTATAGTCATGTGTTAGTAAAATAAAAATAATTTTTTATTAAATATAAAAGAAGAAAAAAGAAAGAGAGAACTTTGGAGGAATTAATGAGAGAAAGATGAAGGTTATTCATTGATAGCAAAACTAGTATTTATTTTGTAAAAATTTGTTAATAAAATTTTTGTTTAAAATATTCATAAAATTTTACCAAAGAACAAAGTTAAAAATTTGTTTCAAAAAAATTTAACAAATTTTGCACAACGAATATTTTTCTCTAACTGTTAGAGAAAATCTCTCATTTTTCCATTGTCTCTAGTAAAGGTTTAAATTTTCGAGGAATTTTTCGAAAATTTTTGTCAACTTGAGAAAATACAAGTCAGACCTTATTAAAAAATGCATCCCTTCTTTATATCCATCCTTTCCTGATACAAGATAACCTCAGTTTAAAATGCGTTTTTTAACTTTGGTTAGTCACTGGCTGAGAGAAGCTGCCTAAGCAATACTTTCTATTTAAGATACATCCAGTATAAGGCACTTAATTTTCACTAGGCTTGTATTTTATAACGAGGTCCGTCCGAATATAAAAAAACAAAACTCAAAAAATTAAAAAAAAAATATTTTTTTTTCTCTAACTGTTAGAGAAAATCTCTCATTTTCCCATTGTCTCTAGTAAGGTTTTAATTTTTATGTTTTTTGGCCTTTTTTATTTTAAAATTGTTAAAAAAAATTTTCTTTAAGTAAATTTATAGTATCCTTTATTTCCTCAATTTTTTTATTTAAAAATGTCATATAGTAAAATAACCCCGAAGGCCCATTAAATATTGAAAACCCCGTGATATACTAGATGAGAATGATTGGAGGCAGATAGTAAACCAAAGAACAAAAATGACAAAAAAGAGACAAAGAAAATGAAATTTTATTTAAAGAAAATAAAATTTTAAAAGGATTAATAGAGTCAAAAATTGAGACTCAAAGGGTCAGGAAGGGTTAGAAATAGTGACTGGGGCTGGACCGGATCCGGCCGGATTTTTCCGGAGTCCGTGTCCCAAATCCGGATATTTTTCTCGCAATTTCCGGATTAAAACCGGACCGGATTAATCCAAAGAAATCCGGCCGGATCCCGACTGGCTCTAGATGCAAATCCTGAATCCGGATCCGGCAAATTTTGAGCACCGGCTTTTGGGATTTGATCGGTTCCTGGATTTTTCCAATTTTCTTGTTTAATTTAAAAAATGATAAAAAATCAGAATGCCAAATTAATGCCAATTTAAGTCGAAATGTCACTAATAGAGGCCTAAGACTCAAATAACCTCCCAAATAAAATTAATTGAGAAAGGCTTCAGACTCTAATAATCCCCAAACACAAAAGTCATCAAAAAACTAGGGAGAAAAAAACTTGAAACAAATAAAAAATGGAAAAAAATGAAAAGAGAAAATATACTGAGATAATATAAACACAAACAAAGGTCACCGTGTCCGGACAAAATATCGAATCGTTAAAATATGGAATAGGCTAAAAAAGGGTTAAAATCTCGAATCGGGTAAAAATGGGTTAAAATCGCGAATAGGCTAAAAAGGGGTTAAAATGTGGAATCGTTAAAATATGGAATGGTAAAAATATCGAATCGGCTAAAAAAGGGTTAAAATATGGAATCGTTAAAATATCGAATTGATAAAATGTCGACACGGCCAAAATAGGTCAAAATGTCGAATTTTTTTAAAGATGCGCCAAAACCTTGAATCCGGGCGTTACCGTAATACCGACGGTATTTTTCGGTATTCCGTGTCGGTTGTACGGTACGGAATGCCGACCGATAAAATTTAAAAGCTGACCGTTATTTTTCGGTATTCCATACCGTATACGGTAAGGTCAAACTTTAGGTCTTAACTAAAAACTAATGCATACCACTCTAATTTTTCCATATCAGGATCGCGTTATGTTTTCCGGATCCGTACGATCATGCCGGACCGGATCCGGTCGATTATGCTTGATTTATCCGGTCCGGTTTTACTCGGTAAAGTACAGTGAACTCAGACAGAAAAGATTACGACGGACTACGACTTACCAAACTTATCAATCAACTTATCATCAATAAACTGATGTTGATAAAATTATCAACAATCAACGTATGGCACAAATCTGACCCGTTTTTAAAAGAATTCGACATTTTGACCCATTTTGGCCGTGTCGACATTTTTACCATTCCATATTTTTACGATTCCATATTTTAACCCTTTTTTACCCGATTCGATATTTTAACGATTCCATATTTTAACGATTCGGTATTTTAACCCCTTTTTAGCCTATTCGCGATTTTAACCATTCCATATTTTAACGATTCCATATTTTGTACCGGAGCCAAGGTCACGAGTATCTTAAAAAGAATAAAGAAAAAAATTGCTTATGAAAAAAAGGCAAAAAAATTTTTTGTCCGCAAATTATTTGCGGACAAAAAAAAATTTTTTTTTAAGATTATTGGACTCAAAATAAATTTAAAAAAATAAATTGACAATTTAATTTAATGTTCAATTAAAATTAATATTTTTAATTTAAATACAAAATAAATAAAATAAATATTAAACAATAAATTACCTAAAATACCCCAAGAAAACAACAATTAAAAGACGAAATAGGCTGGCACAGGTGAATTAAACAAATAAATAATTGCCTATATTATACCTAATTAATTTAGAATATTTTCTTAAAATAGCGCAAAAAATTCTTAAAATACAAATACCTAACTATTCTGAATTTTTGAGTTGTCCGCAAATTTTGTCCGCAAAAAATTTTTTTGTCCGCAAATTTTTTGCGGACAAAAAAATTTAATTTTTTTCTTAAAATTAAAAAAAAATATAAATTTATAATAGATAAAGCAAAGATAAGAACGTTTAATATTAAATAAATAAAAAAAAGAAAATAAAAGTAAACAATAAATGCTAGAGTTTTAAAAAATGGTTGTTGGTCTAAGGAAGTGAAACAAACAAACAAACACAATTTGTGGAAGAAATTAATTAAAAAAAATTTTTTTCTAAAATTTATTTAGAAAGAAAAATAATGAAAAGAAGAAAAGCAACAAAATAAAAATTAGAAATTCTAAAAAACTTTTTTAGACCTCTCCAATAAAAGGATTCAATGGAACGGCGTTCTCTTATTTGTGTAGGGAAGCAAGCGTCCCTGGGGAAGGACAGGAAATTGGAAAATCATTTAAGAATCGAAAACTTGGAAAAAAAACTTGGAATACTTTAGAATCAGGGGAATATTGAGGAAATAAAAAATTTGAAAAATAGACCAAAATATAAACCAAGAAAATAAAAAAATTTGGGAAAATAGAAACAATGAATTGTTACCCTAACAAATCCCTTCCTCTTTCTAATAAATGTAAAAATAAATATTGGTAAATAAATACAAATTATTTTTTATTTTTTATACCAATTATAGCTTTATTTTTTTAATTTTTGAGGTATAGAAAAAATAGAAACTAAAAAATAAATACAAATTTTAATGCTTAATAACAATGGCAAAAATGTGTGTTACCAAAAATAATTTTTTAAATTTAGGTAATAAAAAGAGAAAAAAAATAAAAATTAATTATTAGGGGGAAAAACTGAAAAAATTAATTTTTTTTTAATTAAAAAATTTTTCTGAAATTTTTTTTTGAAAATTTTTTTTTTTAATTTTCTGAGTTTTTTTTTGAAAAAAAAATAAATTAATTATTAGGGAGAAAAAAAACTGAAAAAATTTTTTGAAATTTTTTTTTAAATTTCTAAATTTTTCAAAAAAAAAATTTTGTTTCGAGAATTTAAAAATTAAAATTAAAAATTTTTATAAAATGACTATTTAAAAAGTATTAAAATTGCTTATAAATCCTTCCCTTTAAATAAAGAAT